CCATCCCCTCCCAGCTCCCCACATGATGTGGGGCAGTGGGGATCACCCACTCACTGGCAGGAATGGTGAGTCCAGGGGATTTTCTTGTTTTTTTTTTTCTTCTTAAAGGGCCGGAGCTGCGGCAGGCATGGCAGCCATGGGGTGTGAAGGGGCTTGTGCAGAGCCCCCCATGCAGTGTGGGGCAGTGGAGATCGCCCCCCCATGCCTGCTAAGTTGGGGCTTTTCTTTTTAATTTTTTAAGTGCCAGGAGCTGGGGTGGGCAGGGCAGCTGGGAGAGCAGGCAGGGGATAGGCCTGGCTGATTCGGAGATTCGGGACCATAATTTGAATCACCGAAACAAATCACTGTCCCCCAAATCAGCCAAATCTGAAGCAAATACTAGCCGCCTCAGACAGGCCTACTGAACTGGTCTGGATCTGAACACAAAGCCCGTGTGGAGGAAATTCCATAACCCATTTTGGATTTCATAAGCCTAGCTCCTTGCTGTTCCTCACCCAATCATAACCCACACCTCAGCTCTTCAGAAGAAATGAGAAGCTCAAAGCAGAATGAATTCCCTTCTGTGCCCTTTCATTGAAGACCAGTTAGACTTGCAGAGATGACTAGTCCATGCAGTTTGCTGTAGGGAGACTTTACACCTACCTGGTGGAAGGAGAGACCCTGCACCACTACCCCTTTCTCTGGGTCCTCCCGGATTGCCAGAGGTCCCTTTGGTTCCAGTAGGTCATGAATCTGCTCATTATACACCTAGAACAAGGGACCAAAGGTAAGAATTTTAAAGAGCATCTTTGATAGCTGGGTTCAGGGAACCAGGGGCAGGTCTTCGGGTGGAGTGAAAGAGTTGGGCTTAGACCAGTGAGGCACGTACCCCCATGTACTGATTTCCTGAAAAGATATTTTTACCTAAATTCTACCATGGAGAAAATCACGATACAGCACCCTATCCTCATGTACTTGGTCCTAAGGAGGGCTTTCCATCATTACAAAAATTTTATCTTCAATTCACTACTATCATTTCCTTGAACAGCCCATTACCCAGGAACTTTGATTTGCTCAAACACTTGTAATCCTTAACTATTTCTTTATGGGTTT